CTCGATTGGCCGTGGCCATTACCAGTCCTGTGCAACCTGACCTGACCTGACCTGACCTTCTAGAAACAATACGCTGCAAACCACATTTTGGACGTGTTTTCTTGTGTCATGAAGCGTGATTTCAACTCTACTGAGCGGCTCAAAAAGAAGCTGAAAAAGATACGTGAAAAACAAAGAGAACAGGAAAAGGATGCTGTCACTGATTTACCAGAGTCGACTCCAGGCACGGGACTAGTACTTGAAGGACTTTTCGACGAGCTTCCCATTTCTGAACCGATCAAAAAAGCTTTGAGGGCAATGGGCTTCACTAAAATGACCGAAATACAACAGAATTGCCTGCCACAACTCCTGGAACATAGAGATGTTATGGCGTGTGCTAAAACAGGAAGCGGAAAGACCTTGGCGTTCATTATTCCGGTTGTGGAGCTTATGCTACAGTTGGGTTTGCAACCACGCAACGGCACAGGGGCGGTGATTATTTCCCCCACTAGAGAGCTAAGCTTACAAACATATAGCGTTCTGAGGGTAATTATTCACGTTTTATCATCATCCCATCCTTTAGGAGGTCACCCAATTCACATCTCTCCGTATAGGCCTCATCATGGGTGGAAGTAATCGCCAAACCGAAGCCCAAAATTTGGAGAAAGGTGTAACAATTTTGGTAGCGACTCCCGGAAGACTTCTTGATCACCTAACGAATACGAAAAATTTTCTTCGTCACAACCTTAAGGCCCTTGTGATTGACGAAGCTGACAGGCTATTGGATATTGGTTTTGAGGTTGAAATGCATCAAATTATCCGTCTTCTTCCAGCAGTAAGGCAAACTATGTTGTTTTCCGCAACCCTCAATGAAAAAACACGTCATCTGGCTAAAAATGCGCTTAAAGCGGATTGTGTGATGATCGGTATCAAAACTGAAGGCGAAGCCACGGTCGAGGGTTTGGAACAGGGATACGTTGTTTGTTCCCCGGATAAGCGTTTCTGCTTGTTGTACACTTTCATCAAAAGAAATAAAAACAAAAAGGTAAGAATTCGAATCATGTCAATAGGTGTGACAATGGTATTCAGTGGTATTTTCTTCAAACTACCGCTCCAATGCATTCACATATTATGTCATCCTTTGTATTTCCGTGTTAGAGGAACCCACATCGACCCTGACAGTAGCCGATGTGTATTATGTGATCTGCTACACGCTACTGCGTCCAGCATTTTGATTCTCTACATCCTAATTTGTATTCAAAATCCTGACCCCCTGCAGAAAGTGTTAGGTTCACTAAACTGGGCCAGTGTACTTTTTCGCCCCACATTAATGTTCATAACCAAGGGAATCTCGGGGTGTGTTCGGATACCAGCTCTGAGTCTTCGGATAATCAAGTGTCTGAAATTCCTTCGACGCTATACTCCTTGGGTGCCCTTAACAATCGAAAATGATAGGAATTATTTCATCAGCCTGGCCGGGGGTTTGTTATGCGCTTGCGTGGGCTGAAAATGAATTTTTTGACTGCCTTGGAAGCTTTTGTTTCGACCAGGCTAAACTACCAGTGAGGTCAACAATCGATGGGAAGTTGGTGGAGTAGGAATCAGAGTACTGTCTTATCAATGTAGAAAACGGCAGGCTTTCAGAAGAAGTAGCTAACATCTGTGTTGCTTTGTACTCAAGTTACTCCGTGGCCTTCTGTGGTGACTGTGCTTTTATGAAATGATTTGAGCGGAAGTGTTGTGTTGAGTGGCATCAGTGACGAAAAGCTTTCTCCTGACGAACAATACGAAAAAAGGGTGAAAAACGTTGGTACATGAAAGTAAGGTAGATCCATGGTTTATAGATCTCTTGACAATTTAGAAGTTGAGGTTGCTGACAGTCGTTTCAGGAATTTAAATCAAAGTTTCGAAATTTACACCAATCAGCAGAGTCATATAGATATATGAAGGGAATTCAAAAGAGTAAATTGGGTAGAAAATGTAATAAGACTGTAGTTCAGGAAGTCTAGACAAACTATTGCGATTTTTAAAAACGAATGTGGGTTGGATACGAGGGGAGATGTAAGCTGGTGTAAGTTGTTCAGTAGAGCAAATGATACTACCTCATGTCCAACGAGCAATGCCCCTCCAGAGTGCAGCAGCCATTCCGTAATCAACTTTGGGTCTGTTTTATTACCATGCATAAGCTAGAAAAGCCTTATGTGGTTCATCACTCTAAATCCCATGGATATGGTTACCGGTTTCCATCAGTGAACAGCAGATCTTTGAGCCTGTGGGGTTCACCCCATCTGCTGTTCGTCACAGGAAAGATGTGTAATAGAAAAATGTTGTCCAGTAGGGCGCATGTTTCTGCTTCACGTCCAAGGAGCGATGTTCCTTCTGAGTGTAACAACCACTCTCTGTGAATTGGGTTTTGAACTGTTAGTAATTTCATCAGCGTTTGATGATGGTATTTCGAGTAGGGAGCAGTACGCAGTATACATACATACATAAAGCAGTTGCATCAGGGAATAGTCAAAACTGTTCCGACTGATACACCATACGGGAAGTCGGCGAACTCCAGTTAGTGAAACAGTCTACGATGAGATGTGTCAAGCTGTTCTCAATAGGGATGAATGACTTGGTCGCTGGGCGGAATACTTCAGCGAACAGTAAAGCTAACCTGGCGCTATCCAGGTTGCTTCATCTGCAACTGAAGTTCCATGGACAGTGTCATGCGATCCTCTGACAGAAGCAGAAGTTCGTTCTTGCATTCAAGCTCTAAAGAGAGGAAAGGTGGCAGGACCAAATGAGCTCCCTCCTACTCCTTTCAAGATGGGGGTGGAGGGGTGTGTGATAACATCGTAAGCTCTATTACTACCTTCCCAACATTTAGACGCAAGAGCGCATTCCTTCATCTTGGGGCGAGTCACTGATCGTTCCCATTTTCAAGAAAGGATCCCGTAACGATTGCGAAAACCACTGCGGGATCAGTTTGGTCCCCATCGTCATCCAGGTGCTAGCCTCGGTTATACTTCGACGTCTGACGCCTTTAGGAGAGGCCAACATCCGTAAACAGCAAGCCGGATTCCGGCCTGGTCGTGGATGTTTTGATCAAATCTCCACGTTGCGTCGGGTCCTTGAGCTGAGTCACACCCACCGTCGACCAACGATCGCAATGTTCCTTGATCTGAAAGAAGTCTTCAACTCAGTTGACCGCGAAGCTATGATGGGCTCTCTCCTTCGAAAAGGAATGCCCCAGAAGTACGTTAACTTACTGAGGCCACTGTACTTACAGACCTCTGGTCATGCAAGGGTCAAGTACGAACTGAATAGGCCATTCATCACTAGCAGTGGCGTTCGTCGAGGGTGCCCTCTCTCGCCTTTGCTGTTCAATTTCGTCGTAGACGAAATACCGATGGACGCATTTATTGATCTCCAAAACGTAGATATTGAATGACAACTGGAGAAAAACTGTGCGATTTAGAGTACGCCGATGACATCGTCTGTCTATTAAAACGTACGGATGCGCAAAGCGCACTTGGTAGACTAACAAATGCATTTGCCACATTTGGTATGTGCTTCGCGCCTTCAAAGTGCAAAGTGATGCCACAGGATTAGATTTCGCTACTCCTGCTCTGAAACTGAATGGCCATAATTTAGTTATGGCGGATTACTTTTCCTACTTAGGAAGTTGCGTGACCAATGACGGTAGCGTATCAAAGGAGATAACCACCCACATTTCCAAGACTCAAGCAGCATACGCAGGACTAAAACACCTTTGGTGTAGACGCGACGTTTCACGGAAGTTAGAAGGTCGTGTATATTGAGCTACCGTTCGTTCAGTTCTACTTTTTGGTTGAAACCTTGAATTTGCGGACAGAAGATATCCGTCGATTATCGGTGTTTAGGTAGTTTAGCAAACGTGGGATAGAGCGAACGGGTTAGCAATCTGGAGGTATGCCGTCGTGTGTTTGGGGATCTACCAGGGATAAACTTGCTAGCACACCGAATTCAGATTTTTAAACTTCGCCGGCTAGGGCACGTACTGCGTATGTCCAGCCATCGTCTGCCGCATCGCGCTTTATTCACTGTAGCCGCTCCGGGCTGGAGGAGATCACATGGGGGTCAACAGATGACGTGGAGACGAGGTTTGAGGAAATGCACAGAGCCATTAGGTAGAGTATATATCTCGCGTCTTCCAGGTTGTGGTTCGAAGGGGCTCCGCAACTGATTAGTTGGAGACATTGCAGGATATGACAGTGAAGTGACAACAGTGGCGTTCTTGATGTCATTTCTCATCAGGCCGGTACGCTTGACACGGTATGTATGCAGAGTTCGATTATGTACTCTGTGTTGACCATAGAGGTTCATCTTATTCCCCTCGACATCAGCAACGCAGTATACACTAGGCAATACTTCCAAAAGGAAAACCTGCTGGATTTATTGACGCTTAGGTGACATTTCGTTTCTGTAATCCTCACTTGGTCAGTAAACTGCAATACTACATTACTACTTTCAGATCATGGTTTTTATGTCGTCGTGTATGGAGGTGAAATTCTATTACGAATTACTCAACTTCGTGGATACACCTGTGTTGGCAATCCATGGACGTCAAAAACAGGCCAAACGCACCAGTACGTTCCTCAAATTCCTCAAAGATGAAGCTGCGGTACTACTATGCACTGATGTTGGCGCTCGCGGATTGGATATCCCGAAGGTAAGCCATGGGCTGTGAATTCGTTGTGCATAATCTGGACCATATTTTATTATAATGATTTGTGCCGGTATCTACATCATGGTCAACCAGTTTCCACCAGCCATCAACTGATTTCACTTTTTTTCGACTTTCATTCACGGGTGGGAAATTCAGCTTCTTAGAATAATCTGTGAACGATCTTGGGAACGTGGTATTAGGTAGAGAACTCAGTACTGCTCGACGTGGTGGTGGCGCAGTGGTTTACTCGCTGCCACTGGCGTGCTTTGAACCCTGTCGTCCGAGGTTCGAGCACTGCCACCACCATCCAACTTTGGTGGTAGACAGCTTTGCTGTCGCCCGGTTCTATACCACGCCTGACCTAGCGGGGCTAATGGGTCGCCACTACAAGTCCCAAGGGTCTGGTTGCCGAGTACCATCACTGAACAGCAGGTCTTCGTGACTGGGGTTCACCCCGTCTATTGTTTATCGCGCACTGATATGTAATAAAAAAATTCAAAAATACACCTGGCTCTTCACAGCCAAGTGCTAACTTTTGGACAATGGGAGGTGGTGATAGTGTTATTTAGTGGTGGACCAGATTCGTGCATAGCCCGATTCTTATGACATTTCATTGCGGAAAAGTTGCCCACTAGACCAAAATCCATCAAGTTGCGGCTTCACCGCTAATCGTCTGTGACCGCTAATTCCCTAAAATAATTCACAAATAACCATCTGAGTGGTCGTCCTCTTGACCGTGACCTGGAGACGCGCTCGGCACTATGCAGCTTCTTACGCTTTCCGGTTTGATGCCTTATGTTTTGCTAATAACACTGGATGGTATAGCTTAGTGCAGTGAACGGCGTCACTAGTGCACATGCTCAATTTCTATGTACATATTGTTCATCCATTGTGATAAGCGTCAGTGATTGAGGGATGCTTTAGAGAAAACAGAACCAAATGTCTTTAATCTTCCAACAAGGTGCATAATTTCTTTAGAATGAAGAAGAAAATGCACATTATTGATTAACACTGCTATTCTTAAATTATGGTTCGAAGCGTAACGTAATCATACCCACATTTTGTATCCTTGGTTTGTTACTACTCTCAGCGGTTTAGTTCCTTCTCCCACTCGTTTCCTCATGGGTCGACTAGGTGAATACTCTTCCGTTATCACTTCCTCTTTTCTGATGACCAACAAACGGTGTTCAACCCATAGTCAATTTAACCAGGTATTCAGCCATAAAAATCAGAAACCTAAGCCCGTATATATATATATATATAACTAGCCTTTCCCGGTACGTGCAAAGAGAGCACGAGTAGGTAGTCGGTGGGCGGGCGAACCAAATGAGGTCGAGTTATGGTATGCGTTTTATTGCGCCGGGCGACTCAAGAGGCACCAACTTAAACCAGGATCAGAAGTTCAATATTTATAGTTACACTAACCAAACTGTTCCAAGAAACGCAGTCGTTGGTTTGTAAGGCCTCGGATCAAAATCCCATCAACGTCAACTGAATTTGATACATATGGGATCTGCCATTGGTAGACACATAGTCACTGCTTTCCTTTTTTACTACACACTTTCATGTGATAAACGAGAAAGCTCCATAGTCACGAGGACCTACTGTTCAGTGATGGAAACCGGTAACCTAAGCCCATAGAATTGGAGTGGCGAACCACATAAGGCCCTGAGAAGTTGGGTATGGTATTTAGCCGGGCGACAGAAAAGCTGCCTACGACCTAAGGTTGTTGTGATCCTGTATGATTTACCACTGCATGACCGATGCCAAAGACTATCCTCTATCCTACTGCCCACTAGGCTCAATCCCTGTAGTGTTCACACCATAACACGCATTAGAAGTACTAATCCGCAGTTTCATTGCCAGGTTGTTCAACAGTTCATTCGGATGTGTCATAGTATTGGTCGTTTCCATTTGACTCCAAATTCTACAAGCTGGTTCACTGGCCGCCTCTCCGGAGATTCGATGGCAGAGGCCGCTGGTCAGGTTGGCATGGGGATAGCACTGAGTGCACGTGCTGAAGCAGCATTACTCGACTAGATTCCAATCAATAGTCGACTCTACGCTATCCGTCTAAAGGTATCGGCGAAAGCATCCCGTATTGAGACCAAAAATCTGTCTGCTCGTTATCAGGGCTGTAGTACCAACTTAAGAAGACGAGTTCTACCATCAGCTCACCAACCTCCTCCATAGAAGATGACACTGACATTGTGGTACTAGCCGGCGACTTGAACGCGCAAGTAGGTAGGTTAAACGCTGACGAAATCTCACCTGGGGGCCAGCATAGCCTCGGGTGTTGGGAGAACTAACAACGGAGATCGTCTTCTGCAAATCTGAGCTGAAGATAATCTTTTCCTTCGAGCACCAATTTTCGCCGACTGTGGCGTCAACGTGCTACCTGGCGACCATCGTCTGATCAGCTCTGTACTCAAATGGATCATACTGCCATCACCTATCGATGGAGAAACTACATAGCGGACTGCAAATCCATCCGGAGCATATGTCACAGCTCTGATCATGCACTCATGCGCGCAAAATTCTCTCTGCGCTTTGGTGGAAATTAGCGACGTCACCCGAGAAGACTCGGTTTTATGATACTGATCACCCCAAACGTAGGTACCGCCTACGAAAACGCAGCTGCTGATCTGGACAGTCTGCCATCCTCGAACGTTGATAACTAGTGGGTTAACATCCGTAATGCCATGCATACGTCTGCCACCACAACACCGTCAGTCGTTAAGTTTCGGCACGTTCTGTCGAACTGCTTGGCACTCGTCGAAACATCCCTCCAGGTAATGAATACAACAGTTCACAGGACTCAATGTTGAACTGAAACAGTTCCTAGAAGAGGACCGAGAGACCTGCTGGGCACAATGCACCTCGGAGGTGGAACTAGTCTCTGTTTCCGGCAATTCTCACAAACTTTTTCGACTTATCTGAGCCACCGGTTTCAAAAAATTATGCGAACGTATTCACAATCTATGACGTCGGCTTGGGGGCTGGGCGGAGCACTCCACCAATTTGGTTCACTATCAGTATCATCACCACCTGATGTACGTATCGCTCCACGGTCTGTGGACATTTCATCGCCTACCGAGAGAGAGGTCTCTCAAGAGCTCAAACTTCTAAAACGCCAAAAGTCCTCCGAAACTTTTCAAAGCCTGGTGCAAGCTTTGTCAGAAAACTAACTCACTTATTCCAATCACCGAGGGATTATGATCATCTCCGTTGCGTCTAAGGTGTTAGCATCTTTGATTCTTCGCAGGCTCAGTTGGATAAGAGCGTCACATCTGCGAAGTACGAGATGGATTCCACTCGGGTGGGAGCTGCATTGATCATTTATTTACGCTACGTCAGATTCTCGAGTAACGTCATACGTTCAGTAGACTGACCATTTTTGTCTTTTTGTGTGCTGCGTTTGACTTACTTTGCACAGTAACTCTCTGGACTTGTATGTTAGGAATCGGTGTGCCTCAGAAGTACGTAAACCTCAAAGCCGTCTACTCAAACATCGTCAAGGTCTATGGTCACATCTCCCCCTCACTTACCGTCACAAGCGGAATCCGACAATGGTACTCGGCTTCGCCCTTCTTTAATTTCGCACTAGAGAAAATCCTAAGCAGCGCTCTAGAAAACTGCAGAGCTTCTGGCGTGGAGCCTCTCCCAGGTGATCGACTTCGTCAATTGGAATAAACTGACGACATTGTTATACTCTGCGACTCCTCTTGAGACGCTCAAAATGTCCTGGGTAAGCATTGTTCGTTACGCAGTTTGTTATGACCTTTTCTCCATCAGATTGTAAGGTCTGGCAAGAGACTACACCACGCTCATGAGCGACCAGTTGGAAATCGTTGATCGCTTTGATTATCTCGGGAGTTTTTTCAGCTCAAGCGGACTGACGGAAGAAATATCAGCGCATATCCGCAACGTTCCAGTGGCTTTCACTAACTTGAGTCACTGGTGGCGCCGACGCGATCTCAGTCTCTCCTTGAAAGGCCGTGTTTACACAACGGATATCCGAAAGGGTTCATCTTAAAGCACTATCAACCCAACCATACTCGGGAAAAGACACCAGGTGCAGATAAGATGAGAGTGGTCCTGCAACTGCCCTTCAAAGGTGACGATATCAGCTGCCTGATTACCAAGCACCTAAAGTCGGCCGTTAAGCTCACCTACTACGCAGCTGACCCCATTGTTGTTTTTACAACCGCCCGGTTGCCAATACCATCGGTGAAAGAACCGTTGTCTCCCCACGCCAAATCTAATTGTATCTATCAGTTCAAGTGTGGATGCTCGGCCATTTACATAGGCAGAACGGAGAGACAACTGCGTNTTATGAGGTCACCAATGACGCGTAGGAAACTCAGGTCGAAATGAGTTCAGTTTTCAGTTTGAACAACCATTAACCATGCACTTCCGTGCGCCGGTTTTGGTTGCTATCTTTTGGCTGCCCATTGGGATGAAGAATAGGAGAAGAAAGGAAAGTCGAAAGTGGATTCGAAAAGAAAATGGAGAGGTTCAGTGAACTAAGGTTGGAAAGAAATTGAGGAGATGCACGAACGCCACTGTTTACGACACCCAGCCATATCGCTCAGTGTCTCTAACCATCGGTTACGATCATCCCGAGGTCCCCAGCCAGGGAGCCTAACAGGACCTATGTGACCCAGTTTCCTGGTTAGGGTTTTCATACCCTCGTGCCAGGTCTTAACTTGACCACCCTTGGCTTTTTTCCACTCGGTATCTGCTTCGGCGAACATCGCTCGCCGTGGTAACCTACCTGGTGACATGCGTAGCACATGTCCCAGCCAACGTAATCTATGGAGGTCGATCACTTGCTCCAGTGGGCGACCGTATTTACCCAAAACTCTGTCCCTAACCTCAGCATGGCTCATCCGGCTACCCCACCAGATTCGTGCAATGCTGCGTAGACAGCGGGGTTCAAACACCGACAGTCTGTCTGTCAGGTCGAAATGAAACACTTTCATGCTGCGCGACGCGTTCAGAATCCTCTACAACACAAACAACACCAAGGTTCTGAAATACGCCGAGGCACTAACCATTCAAAAATACCATTCCAAACTGTGTAGGCAGCGCGAATGGCTTATCATCCTGGTGCTACCGTGGTAACGAATGTGTTTGATGAGTAATTTTGACCGCAATCTTTCTCCGCCTATGATTTACTGACCACATATTAATGATCACATAGACTGTAGTATGCACGTGTACAGATGCAGCGAAATGAACCAGGATACATTGTGCAAACCTGTGTTTTTGGCTTCTTTATTCAAATACCATTATCATTATTTGCGATAGCTACATCCGTGTGATGCCGAATAGGCCAGGAAATCCAAATATCACAAGGTTAGATGATGGGGCATCAGCAGGATTTTTCTTTAACCCTCCATGTCCGTCCCTGGGAATGAGC